ACACACACACACACACACAGCCTGTTACACACACACACACACACACAGCCTGTTACACACACACACACACACAGCCTGTTACACACACACACACACACAGTCACAGCAGCTCACCTTAGGGTCCTCCAGACGCTCCAGATATTTCTCAAAAGAACCTTCAACAAACTGAAAGAGAAAACAACCTGGTTAACTAGCGGGTTAGTGTAGGTTAACTAGAAGGTTAGTGCCCGTTAACTAGAAGGTTAGTGCCAGTCAAAATGCATCTCTGATCTGCTGCTACCTTATGAACCATCCCGACCCCTTAGGTCGTCTGGGACCGGTCTACTTTCTGTTCCCAGAGTCAGAACTAAACATGGAGAAGCAGCGTTCAGTTGTTCTGCTCCACATATCTGGAACAAAGTCCAGAAAGCTGCAGGTCTGCTGAGACCCTCAGCTCCTTTATATCAGGACTGAAGACTTTTCTGTTTGCTGCCTTTAATTGAACCACATTCAAGGATATTAATCAATTTCACTACTGTATTTTATTTCTTACACTGCTTTTTTAATGTTTCAATGAATGTTCTTAGATCTCCTTTTCTTTTGCCTTATGTTTTGATGCTTTTAATGGTTTTATGTGAAGCACTTTGAATTACCTTGTTGAAATGTGCTATACAAATAAACTTGCCTTGCCTCTCAACTAGCCGGTCAGTGTCGGCCAACTAGCGGGTCAGTGTCTGTTAATTAACTAGTAGGTTAGTGTTGATCAGTAACATACCGGTTCAAAGTTGAATCTGTTGGCTCTCATGAAGTCGGCGCAGTCCTGACGGATCCTCTGATGGTAGTTCTGAGAGTAATACAGCTACACACACACACACACACACACACACACACGCGCACGCACACACAGGTAGTTGACATCAGTGCTGAGTAGTACAGGTGTGTAGCACTCAAACTTCTCTCTCCGCACACACACACACACGCGCGCACGCACGCACGCGCCGCGCACACACACCAGCACCGCTTAACGGACTCACCTGTTCGGACACGGCTCTGAACAGACTGGACGCGTCTCGCGCCACCATCTTCCGGTAGAGGCCCAGACTGCACAGGTACTCGTCCATGTTGACGAAGTACTTCTTCAGGCCTTTCTGCATCACGGTAAACTCGGTAAACACTCGCTCTGGTTTCAGACGCCGCCGCACGAGCCGCTTCAGTCACACCGACAGGTGAGTTTAATTAGGTCTGATGAGCGCGCGACGCCGCTCACAGCTGCTGGAGCGTTCAGGAACCGAAGCGACGGTCAGAAATATTAAATTTATTTCTTTAGCGTTTAAACGGTCTGACGTCACATTAGTCTGACGTCATCACATCAACACTGCCTTTTATTTTTATTTATTGATACAATGCGACAGAGCGATATGATGTAATATTTAATTTACTCAAACACTGAAGTAAAATATAAATATATAAATAAATATCTTGACTGTAGTAAAAGTAAAAATACTGCTGTTAAAAATACAGAAGTATTAGTTGTGTTTAATATTGTTCATAATGTATCGTATTTGATTTGTTTTTGTTTGTAAAGTCTCAGTAACGTAGTACAAGTACAAAGTAATATAAGATGGAAAAGTCAGGTACAAGTACCTCTAAGTGGTAGTACTGTCATAAATACACAAATACATGTAAAATAAATGGAATGCTATACAAATATAAAACATTTAAAAAAATAATCTGATGATTTAATGAGATTTATGTTCATAACTTGTTCATAATGTTTTCTGTGTCTGAGTGACGTCATGCAGGTGATTCTACAGGTGTTATATATAATAAAAGATGTATAATATCTGATCCCTTTATGTTTAACTGTTTGTTTGTTTTGTCAGTTTGACACGATAATCTGTGTTTGATTTATGAACCCGGATGTCCGGCCGGTGGAGGAGGGCGGTGATAAGAGGTGTGTTTTCTTTTATTTAAATTTTTGTATTAAAATTTTTTTTCAATTAGGGCCTAAGCAACCGACAACGTCGGGCCATGAAGGCTCTATTGAAATTCGAATACACATAGTATATTGGGCGCATATTTGGGGGACTTGCCACACTCGAAAACTCACCAAATGTTGCACACTTGTCAGGCCTGCTGAATATAGCCATCTGATAAAGGTTGCATATTTGTGTGCAACTTGGTATGCACATGTATTCCCTGAAGACTTAAAAAAAAGTATCTTGGGACCATGCTCTGAACGCAGTGGCTGGCCGTCAGGGCCTGCAAGGCCTTCTCTGCTGGCATAGACAGAATCACAAAGTTATATCTATTTTATCATTTAATATTTTTTCATAAATACACTACATGTATTATAATATATAATAATATATTCCCATTATCTTATGTTCTCATTGCACAGCTCCTGTCTTCCTCAGTTGCTCTGCTTCCAGTGCAGCTTGTTTTAAATAGAGCTTTTATCCAATCAGATTTCACCTCTGTGTCTCTAGGTAAGAACAGAGGCAGAGGCCTGCAGACTCACAAGTGAATCCATGTGCAGTTTAAGTGAATGGAGACGATATTGTTGATTGTCATAGTGTTCAACCAACCAGATCTTTAGTTTGACATGTTGGGCGTATTCTTTGACGTGTCAGAACCTGCTAGCTGGCCTACAAGAACGTGATTGGTCAGTGGGCTAGCGTGACATGTTGGGCGGTGACAATCCCAATATCTGCTGCCTCTGTCCAGCGGACATTTACAGCCTCAAACGCATTAAAACCTATTCAAGAAATACAACTGGAGAGGCTTGACTGTCTTCACTGGCGTCCAAGAATGGAGAAGGACTTCTTACTGGAACTAAAACACACGGATGTAATGAACAACCGTGAGATTAAACTCTTTGTTAACAAAGAAAGGAGGATGGACTTTGTTTTTAAATAGTGAACAGCAGCTCTGGTAAGTTAAATGCGTTTGTTTTTACATCTGCAGTAGCTTTAATATGTTTGTTTATATATTATTATTTTAACAACTTGTTTTTATGAATATGGATTTTCTTTGGGTTTTATATGTGATAGGAACTATTGTTACGTCCTATGTTGTGCTGGGGACAAATTTAGCCGGTGCACAGCAACAAGAAGACGCGCAAAGCGGCAGCGGTCTATATACTCCATTAAAGTTAAAGTGTTAAAGTTAAAGTGTTTAAGTTAAGTTTAAGTGTTTAAGTGATCATCTTTGAAGATTCATGTGTTTAAGTGGACTCATTTTCCCTCTCGGTGTTGACAGACGAATAAATCCGTCAGTAACAAGAACTATGGAGTCGTGTATTTCCTGGAGGGAGTGATAGGAGAGTTACTACTCTGTTCATTTGTCTATGGTGTCGTTTTCATGATACGGTTAATATTGTTCCCTCTGATATGAATAATATGCTCTTCAGTGTGTGGCGGAATGCGTGTTTTAGCTGAATTGATTTTGATTATATGCATTGTTCGTTAATGCCGCCGCATCCCGTCATGCGGGTATTCATGTATCTGCACTCAGAGTATTTGTAGGTGTTGAGCTTCATTTTTACGAGTGCAGGCCCGGGTATAACATGCACGGCCCGCCACTGTCTGAACTGTACCGGACGTCAGCCATTTTGATTTTTGTGTCATTTTTTGATAGATTTTTGCCCATTTGTAGTCGGTATACTTTAACGAACTCATAGGGACTTCATCAGATCCACTTCAAATGTCAGTACAATCTAAAGACTTTTGTGATTAAAAGTTATCAAAAGCTTTACGTTTGACGGAATGGTTTAGTCGTAGCGGGCGGCTACTTTACGTGATTCCCCATCAAAAAAGCTGATGTAACTCAGCTGGACTTGTTCCAAAAGGTCCCAAACTTCCCATGCTTGATAACACTCATGGCCTGAGGATGTCTACAAGCTAATGTCCACTAATACTCATAGTGCCCCCTGCTGGCCAAAGGAAATCTGCGTTTTCTGACAAACAGCCTCTGATTTACATGACTTTTACACGATGTGGTTTGCACTTGATATGGAGCAACATAATGCATCTTTGCGCGTGTTCTGAAGCGCCACACAGCGGATACAGGAAGCGGTGCACGATTTGCAAACATAATTTTCCAGCATCAGGCAGTCCACGCGAGCCGGAGTCCCGCGTGGAAATAAATATATATTATTATTTTTTTAAATTAAAAAATATTATTTTTTAAATGTAATTATAATTATTTAGTTAGTTTGTTATGTTTATTGGGGTAAATATTATAAGTCTATTGTCTGATCCACACTCCGACCTGAAGGTGGCGGTAAAGCACCAATAAGATGGAAGCCAACCACTATAAAATCAGAAGAAGAAGAAGAAGAAGTGCGCATGCGCAGCATGACAGCTTGACAGCCTGTCGTACCTTGTGAGGGTCACTATGGTTCTGGTTCGTGTTTGAGACTCTTGGAGGTCCTGATGTTCAGGCTGGTGCTCCGGAGGTTCAGCGGGTCTCCTCTCCTCCTCTCTGCCCACTCATGTCGCTCCTTCAGCGGCTCTCCTCCTCCAGAGATGCCCGCTGCTCTGGTCCGCAGCACCTTCCTGGACTTCTTCCGGGACCAGCACGGACACCAGCTGGTCCCGTCCTCTCCAGTCCGGCCCAGAGGAGACCCCAGCCTGCTGTTCGTCAACGCCGGCATGAACCAGGTCAGTCGAGACCCGGTCCCGGTCCCGGTCCGTCCCGGTCTAACGACAACAAGCTGAGCTGCTGTTAGCTTACGATTTCAAAATAAGAGCGTGTCCAGTCAATGCTCGTGACATCAGGTCATATTTAACGTTAGCTTACTTTTATTTTGTAGTATTGTGTCGTTTATACTGTTAGCATCATAAGTACTGCACTTCACGTGTACTTGTACTTTACGTGTACTTGTATTTAATTATAATGAGTAAAAACACAGAGAATAAATGAATGTAATTATTAAAGTTATTACAATCAACGATGTTACGTGTTATTATAGATTATGCAGAATTAAAAGGGTCTTCCTGTGGTCTCTGGTCCTAGTTTAAACCCGTCTTCCTGTGGTCTCTGGT